TACATGGCTCGTCAGTTTTATGGTCGGTTTATTTTTTATTCTCAAATTCTTCAGTAAATCAATTCTCATTTTCAATCACACATTTTTCAATAAAATAATATTTTTCATCATATCAATAATTTTTTTTTCTTTTTCAACCACACATTTCCTATCATATCACTATTCAGAAATAAATTATTCCCCCAAAAATTTCTACCAAACAAGAACTTAAGTTTTTAACTTCTGAGTATCATTTTCCGAGTAAAATGTATTTTAGAACCGTGTTTTTTAAAGAGAATGTGTAGTTAAAATATAAAAAAAATTTTTAAAAATCGTTTGGCCCCATTATTCTAAATTATAATGAGATGAATAATAATTTTTTGAAGAATGCGTTGATAGAAAGGAAGAAATTTTTTTGAATTTATGTATAATATTATTTTATTGGAGGATGTGTGATTAATAAGAAGATATAGTAAAATAAATTATATTTTAATGAGAAATAATGGAGGCAAATGAAGTTTGAGATTAACGTGTAAATTTATATTATTAAAAAACGTATGATTGAAAATTAATTTTGGAAAAAAAAATATTTTTTAAAAATGGGACTCAGGTCACTATCTATATGTCCCTGTTTGACACAATTTTTTTCTCATTCTCATTCTTCATTTTAACCACACATTCTTCAAAATAATATTACACATAAATCTAAAATTTTTAATCACTTTTTCACCACACATTCTCGCATCAATCACTATTTCAAAAATTCTATTCTCATTAAAATGAGATTCAAACACAAGTGCTTAATTGGTCATTTTTGTAAAAAGACCAACATGTTCTTATAACGCAATTAGATGCTATTTGTAGCCCAACCTAAAGAGTACAAGTGGCACCTTAAACTTTATAAAATAAAATTTAGGGAAATTTGCAGTCACGGTACCAAACCTCACACTTTTTTGTAGATTTTGTCCAAATCTTTGTTTTGTGCCACCGGGGTACCAAACCTTTAAACAATTCGCAACGAAGGTCCGCATGGACGATTTCCGTCCAATTTACCATTAGTTGACCAAAAAAAACAAAATTGATCAACTGTTGACTAATTTTTAAATGGCAAATGGTAACTTTCCTTTTTTCATATATAATTAAAAAAAAACCAAAATCAAATAATTAAATCAAAAACCAAAAATTAAAATAAAAGAATAAAATAAAATAAAAATCAAACTACTGTTCACCCCCTCCCCAATCAATCATCCTACCCCTCTCTACCGCCGTCAGCTCCCCCCTTTCTCATCTTTCCACCACAAATGCCATTCCATCTCCCCCACCCATTCCCCCTCTGTTGTGGAAATGTTCACTACATGAAATCTTCCCCGTCAACTATGGACCAAAAATGGAACGGGAAATATTTATGGGAATTGATGATTCGAACAACCCAGAAAGTTCTAGTTTCTTATCAAAACTAAATAATAAAATTTACAGAAATCAAACAGTTTACACCAATCTCAAGAATTAGGGCCCGTTTGATACCGATTAAAATCCAATTAAAATTGAAAATATAGCCGTTATTGGGCCTTACTCGTCTAATAAAAATCAACAACAACGGCTAATTTTTCAATTTTAATCTGATTTTAATCTCTACCAAACGGGCTCTTAATGTCTAATCGAGAGGTATCGGATCCCAAAACCAAAAAGAGAACAACAAGACATTTGGGAGTAGAATTGGAATAATGGAGTGAACATTACTCCCAAGCCGTTTCCTTCTCAGTCTTTTCCACACATATTGTCTCTTTTCTTCTTCACCCCACCATGCTTCCTCTACTCCCTTGGCCAGTATACGTGGTGGAGGCTGCTGAAATGGACACTTGGACCGCCAGAGGTGTGAGGGAGCCCAGATCTTGACAGTGGAGATGATTTTTGTTTGTGGACCGCCAAGAGATTAACACTGTTGTGGAGGAACCTCCGGCGGTAGTGGAGACGACTTTGGTTTGTGAGGGTGAAGGTGGAGCTGTCGAGTTTGGGTTTTGGGTGGGGTGGTTGGAGAAAATAATAAGGTTTTTTGAGTAAAAACTTTCATTAGTCACTGAACTTGGAACTTTGTCATGTTGTGTCACTCAACTTCGTTATGCTTCCCATCTGTCACTGAACTTGTCCACCGTTCCCTCCTTCCCTCACTACCAGTGTCCTGTTTCCTACCTGGCTCGACGGTGTCCTAATTGGCAAGAGACGGTGTCACATTCATTGCCACGTTAGATGGACGCCTTCAACCCCTTCAATTTGAGGGAGGAATCCCCAATTCGAACTCCCCCATTCCATCCTCCATTCAAATCCTACCCAAATCCCTTCGATAACGAACCATAAATTTCATTTTGCCCTAAATTTCGATCCCTGCCAACTCCGAAAACAAGGCCTGAAGCGCCACCACATTCCTCCACGACCGTCAGTCGATCCCTAAATCAATTCCAAACCGAAATCGCCCCACCTAGAACGAACCTGTTCAGCCAATGAAGGTAAATTTCAACCCGTAATGAGTTCAACTTAGTGTGTTGTAGAATGTGACAGTTGAATGGACATAAACATTTCTCAATTCTGGCTGCACAAAGTCAGGTGAATTAATGGGGGAGGCTGCAAACTGATACTTTGTAATTGAATTGTTATTTACTTTGGTATCCGACTTTGCTTTTATATGAACGTTTCTAAATTTAGTAGAACTTGCAAGAATAGTGAATGGTTCTACATTTTGTTAAGAATGAATATAAATAAGTTTTAGACATTGTTTTACTGGATGAACATTTAACTTGTATTTTTGAATATTTTGAGAATGAGTTCCTATGGTTGAATGGTTGCAGTTGAATTGGTAAGAATGAGTAGAAATAAGTTTCAGACATTATTTTACTAGATGCAAATTGAACTTGTATTTTTTGAATATTTTGAGAATGAGTCCTGTGGTTGAATGGTTGCAGTTGAATTGGTAAGAATGAGTAGAAATAAGTTTATTGTAGTTGAAGAATTTTATTGTAGAACCATAAATATAACTTTTGAGTGTTTATTCTTTTACTTTAGTTTTGTGATTTTAACCATGCTAACTATGTTACAATATGTGTTGTCCCAACATAAGTTTGCCTGAAAGTTCATCATTAGTCATCTGTTACTTAAGACATTTTGGAAATGTGTTTACAGATGCTTAACAAAGAACATGAGAAGGCTGAAGATGCAAAGCTGGTTGCTGTGCCAACTGCTACTGGACGCTAAGCATGAAAATGTTTCCTTAAGAGTTGGCTTTTGTGTGTGGTCTAGTTTGGTGGCAGAATTTGACATCAGAAATCGAGAGCCTTACGAA